TTTATTTTATTTATTTTATTTATTTATTTATTTATTTATTTATTTATTTATTTATTTATTTATTATAATTTATTATTATTTATTTATTGTAATTTTATTTTATTTTATTATTCAATTGTATTTCTATAGCGCCACATTACAACAACAGGTGTCTCCCAGCTTTCCAACCAGAGCAGCTCAGACTCTGAGTCATTTACAGAAGAACAACAATTCCCACCATGAGCAAGCACTAGGAGACACAGGGAGGGAAAAACTGCCTTTTAACAGGCAGAAACCTGGAGCAGAACAGTCTACACAGTAGCACATAGACTGGATAAAAAATGGTAAAGATATTGATAGTAATGATAATGATAGCAGGAATAACAGCAATAAGACTGTGAACAGTGGCTATAATTGTAGCATAGTAGGAACAGGGGGGGGGGTTGCCTATAGAGGGAGGAGAGGTGCATCATGGGAAATCCCCCTCAGCCTGGGCCTATAGCAGCATAACTAACTATCAATCAATCAATCAATCAATGTTTATTTATATAGCACTTTACAACAACCGGAGCTGACCAAAGTGCTTTACAGTAATAAAAACAGATCAAACTATCGAAATATACAAAGACAAACACATCGGTGACAGAACCCAGTTTACAGAGACCCTACGTGCAAAAAGCCATCCTGAACAAATGCGTTTTAGGTTGAGCTTTGAACAGTGGCAGCTCAGTAAATTGACTGGATTAATTACCTGTGAGCTCGATCTAAACTCTGGTCTGCCCACAGGTGTGCTCTCGGAGGAGCAAATCCGGCTGAAGAAGATGAAGAAGCAGGAGGAGGAAACGGCCCGCACCTCCGCCGTGGTCACCCCCACCCCCCCGCAGGAGGCCGCGACCCTTGACCCCCAGCAGCAGGAGATGATCGAGAAGCTGGTGGCCATGCAGAAGCAGTGCAACAAGAGGTCCTTCCTGGACCGGCCCAAAGTCACGGTGGGTGGAGCTCTGAGAGGCTACTTAAGTACTGTACTTTAGTACCCAAATGCAGTATCTGTACTTTATTGGAGTATATATTTTTTTTCCCTACTTTTACTTTTACTCCACTACATATTTTTGATTAATTTAATCCTTTTACTTTTACTTTCACGGGCTGAATCGTTACTCGTTACTGAAATGTAAACGTAATGATAGATAGCTCTGTCAGGGTTTGGGAAGCTGGCTCCTCATTGGCCGATTTGAGCAATCAAGAAGAGCCAATTAAAAAAAGCCTCCCAAAAGATAAAAAAATTCCACATCTAATCTGAAGTAGCATATCAATGTAAGTTAAAAAATACAATGACATATAAGCTAGTAAATAAGCGCTAGTTCAGTTCTCCCTGTTCAGGACGTAGCAGCTAACGTTAGCTAAAGCTAACCTAGCTGGCTAGCTGTATAATAACGTTAGCTAAAGTTAACCTAGCTGGCTAGCTGTATGATAACGTTAGCTAAAGTTAACCTAGCTGGCTAGCTGTATGATAACGTTAGCTAAAGCTAACCTAGCTGGCTAGCTGGATGCTACATGCTAGCATAAAGGCTCAGCTCAGGATTCTGACTCTGGAATAATAAATAATAGTAGATGAAGTGCTGTTGATGCTAATGCAGATGTAGTTTTCTGTTTTTGTAAACACCTGTATGGCCTTTCACACGTTTGAAATAATATAAACAATATCTATTACATTTTTGACTGCCTTTTTTTAATATACACTTCTAAAAGTAGTTCTACTTTTATTTATACTTGTACTTTCGATACTTGAGTAGCAATTTTTGAAATACTTCTACTTGCAATACTTAAGCACAAAAAAATGGAGTACTTCCATACTTCCACTTAAGTATGGAGTTGAAAGAATACTTCTACTTTTACTCAAGTCAATTTTTGTATATAGTACTTGTACTACTCCACTCCTCTACTCCAGTACTTCATACATCTCTTTCATACATTTGATAATGATAGAATGTATGAAAAGTATGAAAAGTCTTGTGTAAAACGTCCTTTAAAAGTTCCAGTAGTTAGAATCTGCTGAGTGCTTGTGAGAAGGTTTAATTTGCTGGAAAATAGTTTCCGTTTCTCCTTCCAAATACAACAAATCCCCTATTTGTGGTGGCTGTTGGAGCTCCAGTGAGTTCCCAGTTAAACGCACCTAACCCAGAAAACCTACCTAACCTACTTGCAATACTTAAGTACTAAATAAATGGAGTACTTCCACTTAAGTATGGAGTTGAAAGAACACTTCTACTTTTACTCAAATCAATTTTTTTATATAGTACTTGTACCTCTACTCCAGTACTTTATACATCTCTGATTTTCATACAGTTGATAATGATAGTACGTATGAAAAGTCTCGATGTAGATGTAGTTTTCTGTTTTTGTAAACACCTGTATGGCCTTTCACACGTTTGAAATAATATAAACAATCACACTTTTGACTGCCTTTTTTTATTATACACATGAAAAGTCTCGTGTAAAACGTGCTTTAAAAGTTACCCGGTGTTCCAGTAGTTAGATTCTGCTGAGTGTTGGTGAGAAGGCTTAATTAGCTGGAATTTGCTTCTATTCCAGTACTTTTTTATTATTTTGTCAGAAATAATACAGTGTGTTACGAATGTACATGTGTATTTTTACACTTTTAAACATAAAAAACAAACACAAACAACAGTGTGATTTCAAGAGTATGAAAGGTAAAAGTTCCAGTCTTTGAGAGTTGGAAAAAAAAAAAAAAAATAATACAAAAAAAAAAAAAATAATGCATAATCATCATGCATAATTAGTGGAACGACAGGTCTCCAACCTTTAGTGAATATGGGTATTTGTAGTCTCAGAGAATATCTTATTTATTCCATTTGGTATATATCCCATAATCTGATTTTCATACAGTTGATAATGATAGTATGTATGAAAAGTCTCTGAAATTTGTAAAACGTCCTTTAAAAGTTACCCGGTGTTCCAGTTGTTGGAATCTGCTGAGTGTTGGTGACAAGGTTTAAGTTGCTGGAATTTGCTTCTATTCCAGTACTTTACACATATCTGATTTTCATACAGTTGATAATGATGGAATGTATGAAAAGTCTTGTGTTTCTGTTGTGTTTTTGCAGCCGTGGCCGCAGAGCCAGGACCCGCAGAACCGGGAGGTGCGGCAGCAGCGCTTCGCCCACTTCACCGAGCTCGCCATCATGTCGGTTCAGGAGATCGTGGACTTCGCTAAACAGCTGCCGGGTTTCCTGGAGCTCACCAGAGAGGATCAGATCGCCCTGTTGAAAACGTCTACCATCGAGGTTTGTGGGTTTCCTGTTTCTGTTTTTCTGCGTCTAAATAAGCACACAGATTTAAGCGTATTTCAACGAATAATCAATCAATCAAGTTTATTTGTATATCCCTTTACAATAGCCAAAAGGTACCCCAAGTGCTTTACAACAAAGCCATGAAACAATACATAACACATACAAAACGTACAGATACAACTAAAAGTGCTGTAGAAAAAGCCTTCCAGAAATGCATAGAAAGGCGCAAACAGAAGGACACCTAAGACACGGGATTACTCTAGTCAGAATTAAATGCTAATTTTAAAAAGTGGGTCTGTAACAGAAGAAGAAGTAAGGTATCAAAGTGTTCAGCTCCTTCAGCTCTATGCAGCTACGACTTTAGGTGTTCAAATCTTTTCAACTTTTGAAGTTATTTAACTTTTTTGCTTTTATTTTCTCTAACTGAAATGAATGGAGTCAAAAACATGGCTCTATCTGCTGGTCACTGGCATTTCAGCCCCTTTCAATTCCTGCTATGTGGTCCTATAAAGCCTCTCTGACTGGGGTATAGCTTAGTGGTATAGTGTTTGACCCCAGTTTGAGAAGTTGCTGGTTCAAGTCACATTAGAGTCTTCCACTCTTTAGGTCTTCTAATCCTTTTGCCTTTCTTCTTCAACTCTTCAGTTCTATGTCTTTTTCAGCTTTTCTTTGGCTTCTTCTTTTTCCTCCATTCAGCACTTGGCGTTCTCACATATTCTAGTTATCATTGGGCTTTTTGCTAGAGATGTCAAAAGTATGGATAATAAAACCTTTTATCCGGATACCATACTCATTTTCAAAAGTATTGATACCCCCCCATCTCTCTATTTATTTACGTTGTTTATGGTCATTAATGTGACGTTAGCCGTGAATTGCTAGCTTCAGCTAATGGCTAATAACAACACGCCAACATTAATGTGGGCCTCTGGCCACCATAACATCAGTATTCTAAGACAATAACCTGTCAAAATTCAGTTAAATTTTGGGGTCTTTGTTTTTATCCTTGTAGTATTGAAAATGGTATCGAATATTTTCCTGAGTATCGGCAGTTTTTTTCAAATATTGGCGGCTGATCCGATCCAGATATCGGATCAGGACCGGCCTAGTTGCAGTGACTTCTTGGCTTCTCATCAAAATCAGAAATACTTTGATGGCTTCTCATCGAATCGACCTCTGACAGCGCAGACACACGCAGAGTCGGTCGTTAATACTCAGACAACTTTTCCCACTTCGGCTCCGTTTCAGTGTTGTTTTTTCCTCTTCAGATTATGCTCCTGGAGACGTCCCGGCGGTACAACCCCACCATCGACAGCATCACGTTCCTGAAGGATTTCAGCTACAATAAGGAGGATTTCGCCAAAGCAGGTGAAGCCTCTCCTCAGCCTGATTTGTGGAAACTGTCCACAGTGACATGCCCTCCTGCCTCCTACACATTTTTTAAATTATTTTTTCAGATATAATACAGTGTCTTACGAATGTACATGCGTATTTTTACACTTTTAAACATAAAAAACAAACACAAACAACAGTGTGATTTCAAGAGTATGAAAGGTAAAAGTTCCAGTCTTTGAGAGTTGGAAAAAAAAAAAAAAAAGATGATACAAACAAAAAAAACATCATTGAATTATTAGTGGACCGACAGGTCTCCAATGTTTAGTGAATATTGGTATTTGTAGTCTCAGAGAATATGTTATATATTCCATTTGGTATATATCCCACACCTTTTGAATCCATATATTGTAGGACGAGGTTCAGGTTTGAGCCATCTGATTGTTATACGTTTAATTATTTAATAATATATTCAAAATATATTTTTTTGATCTCGTGTAGTAATAGTTGTAGGTATTACTCCCAATAAGGCAATGTCTATATTGAATGGGATTTCCTGTTTGAAGATTACTTTTAGGGCATCAAAAAGTCTTTCCAAAACAGATTTAATTTAGGGCATTGCCAAAATATGTGTGTGTGATTAGCATTATCAGTTCCACATTTTCTCCAACATAATCCTGAGTACATCGGTCCCATTTTAGCCCATATAGCTGCTGTTCTAAAGAATCTAGTTACAACTTTTCATTTGAAATGTCGCCAAGTGTTTGAATTTGTGACAAGGTGTGACTCCGTACATATTTCCTCCCAAGTCTCGTCTGATATATTCAGGTCTCTGCTTCCCATCTTTGTTTGATATTTAGTGAGTTACATGTACTTAGAGACAAAAATATATCATACAATTTACCAATAATTTTTTTGTCTTCATTGACCACTTGTTTAAAGATGTCCCTCTTTAACTGTGTTTTCTTTTCCACCTCTCTCCTTCCCTCAGGGCTTCAGTTTGAGTTCATAAACCCCATCTTTGAGTTTTCCAAAGGAATGAACGACCTGCATCTTGACGAGGCTGAATACGCTCTGCTCATTGCTATCAACATCTTCTCTGCAGGTCAGCCTCAAAACGTGCCGTTTCACTGAATAAAACATCCCATCTCAGAGGAAGAAATTTATTTTATTTATTTGTTTATTTGACAGGAACAGTACAATTAAACATTGCAACCAAACAGGTGGCCGATGTCCAAGTACATAAGGCTTGTAGCCATGGGCTAATTTGCAGCCTTCGTCCCTGGTTAGGCTTTTAACTCATTGGCTGCCAGCCATTTTCAGAACAGAGTCCCATACTGCCAGAGTTTTTTGAGCATTTTGACTGATTTTTCAAGAGCCACAGAATAGTTTGTGCTATGACTATGTAAACACCGAACACACCAAAAGAAAGAGTAGACTCTCTTCTTTCATCAGGAAAAAAAAAATGTTTCTACCTTATTCCGTTCTTCCTCGACGTGCGTCTCACCGGCGACATGTTCTCTCATAGCGAACCATTGCGTTTGTTTTTATTTGCCTACAATCTATGCTCATCTCCCATCAAAAGTGAGAAGTATGTACTAACGTTGTTACTACATACTCTGTCTAGATGCCGATATTTACGGAAAAACTTTAGCAGATCGTCCCCCAGACACTCTCATTGAAAAACATAAAAGACCTCTATAGACGTCTTTGGCAGCCAATGAGTTAAAAGGTGTTAGCATTAAGGGGGAGGGAAGTTAGTAACGACACACAGATGCATAAGAAACAAGAGAAGTTAAAAGAAAAAAAAAAGTACAGTACAAGCCAGTTTAGTGCTCACACTCTTGATTGTCTTTGAGCCATTTTTTCAATCTTGTGGAGAAAAGTCAAACATCAGTCTGTGACTTAAGAGTTCCAGAGATGTGATGCTTTCACTGACCCGTAGATGTCCGACATCTTTTAATCCTGCAGTTCCCACTAGCTCCAGCTCTTGTCCTGATTCCGTCATTTGCATACTTTAAAACAAATCTAAAGATTACTTCAGGGGCAAAACCATTAAGGCATTTAAAAATAGCTTATAAAAATGAGAAATTTATAAAATTTTCAAATGTCATCATGTTGTATTTTTTAATAATTTTGCAGTGATGCCACTTCACCAGTTTCTGATCGAATATTTTTATTTATTTATTTTTTATTATGGAAGAAAAACATAATAGTAATTTACAAACAGTATAGAATCTGTTCCATGTTTTTTTTTGTTTTTTTACATATAGTACCCAATATCTCTCTTTTGTAGTGGTCAAAGAAATAACTCATACACACACATGCACACAAAAACACACATGGAAAAAAAATGATCGAATATTTTTAGTGCTTGTTTGTGAAGTGAGAATAAAGGTTTTAAAACAGACTTTGTGCAAAGAGTTCCAGAGATGTGATGCGTTCACTGACCTATAGATGTCCGACATCTTTAAATCCTGCAGTTCCCACTAGCTCCAGCTCTTTTCCTGATTCCTTCATTTGTATACTTTAAAACAAATGTACAGATTACTTCAGGGGCAAGACCATTAAGGCATTTAAAAATAGCT